TATAGGGGGAGGGAGTATCTTTATCTGCTCAATTTTGCTGTGAACCTAAAACTGCTCTAAAAACTAAGATCTATAAAAAAAAATATTCTGGGTTGGAGAAAGGAAGAGAAGAAAATGATAGACGTTGTAAGGTCTCCCTGAAAGATGGCCCTATTCCTTCATCCCTAGGGGAAACAACCTCTAGAGAATTTCAGAATCAGAGAAAATATGTCTAGTTCCTGCTCCCACTGGAGCCTAGGAAGGCAACAAGGTTCCCTCCATTTTGGAAGAAAAGCATGTTATCATTAGTCAAAGACGTCTGAGCCCTGCTGGGTTCCCTGTAGCCACAGAGTGATACAAGAGGGCACTTTTCTTACATCCCTTAGAGGCAATCAAAAGTCCTAAAGTCGTCTTGCCAGCCCACAAAAAGGACTGATATCACCAGACAAAAATGAGATGACATGTGTCTCAGATGTCTTAAGTGGAGACAAATATTACCGAGAACATGGACAGATGATGACAAAGGACAAGCTGTCACAGCCCTCCGAAGCCTGTGTTCTACATGCGACCGCAAGAAGAGCTGTGTGGGGAGAAACCATGAATGGATCTAAAAATCTGAACTGGAAAAGAAAACCTTGAGTTAATAGAGAAAAGTAAAGATAGAATATTAATATTTGCCTCATGTGGCTGGTAGAAAGATAAAAATATGTAAATATGGGGAAAAATTCGCGTTTGAAATGGTTTTGTCAGAGGCTACTTTAGTTTTTCTAAAAGTAATGTTTCCATTAAATGAAGAATTCAAACAATGTTTAGAGAGAAAATTTAATTATACAATTAATTAAATTTTCCTGTTAAGTTCCTGCTTTTTTACAGTTCAAAATGCCATTTTGAAATAAATGTATTTGACAAATTCTGTGGTTAAAATATTCCAAGTTTTGTGATTAAGCCTCAAATTTAGAAGCATTATAGTCAACGAGCTTTGTAGAAAAGTCACTTCTTTTCTCACTGAATTTTGGAAATATTTGGGGAAAATATGTAACCGTAACAATCAAATGCAGCACGTTTAGAGCTACAGTCCTCTGTCGGGAAAATATGTAACCGTAACAATCACATGCAGCACATTTAGAGCTACAGTCCTCTGTCTGGAAACTATGTAACCGTAACAATCAAATGTAGCACATTTAGAGCTACAGTCCTCTGTCTGGAAAATATGTAACCGTAACAATCAAATGCAGCACATTTAGAGCTACAGTCCTCTGTCGGGAAAATATGTAACCGTAACAATCAAATGCAGCACATTTAGAGCTACAGTCCTCTGTCGGGAAAATATGTAACCGTAACAATCAAATGCAGCACGTTTAGAGCTACAGTCCTCTGTCGGGAAAATATGTAACCGTAACAATCAAATGCAGCAAGTTTAGAGCTACAGTCCTCTGTCTGGAAACTATGTAACCGTAACAATCAAATGCAGCACATTTAGAGCTACAGTCCTCTGTCTGGAAACTATGTAACCGTAACAATCAAATGCAGCACGTTTAGAGCTACAGTCCTCTGTCGGGAAACTATGTAACCATAACAATCACATGCAGCACATTTAGAGCTACAGTCCTCTGTCGGGAAAATATGTAACCGTAACAATCAAATGCAACACGTTTAGAGCTACAGTCCTCTGTCTGGAAACTATGTAACCGTAACAATCAAATGTAGCACATTTAGAGCTACAGTCCTCTGTCTGGAAACTATGTAACCGTAACAATCAAATGCAGCACATTTAGAGCTACAGTCCTCTGTCGGGAAAATATGTAACCGTAACAATCAAATGCAACACGTTTAGAGCTACAGTCCTCTGTCTGGAAACTATGTAACCGTAACAATCAAATGTAGCACATTTAGAGCTACAGTCCTCTGTCTGGAAACTATGTAACCGTAACAATCAAATGCAGCACATTTAGAGCTACAGTCCTCTGTCGGGAAAATATGTAACCGTAACAATCAAATGCAACACGTTTAGAGCTACAGTCCTCTGTCTGGAAACTATGTAACCGTAACAATCAAATGTAGCACATTTAGAGCTACAGTCCTCTGTCTGGAAACTATGTAACCGTAACAATCAAATGCAGCACATTTAGAGCTACAGTCCTCTGTCAGGGCTTGCCTGGACTTGTTAGGCTTCAATCTCCACTTCTTTCATTGTTCTTTTTGACTCACAGGAATGTAAATATTCTCTAACCTTCTATTCCTTACCTTGAAAAATAGCACAGTATTTACATATCCCAAGTAGTTCTACAACCAAATCAACTCTCTTCTCTTTGCATAAGGCTTATTGTCACTAGAACTTTATAGCCAAGGCATCAAAGTTTAAAGTCTATATTGTCATTTGATTTGTACAAAGTGGTTAATACGAGCACAAAATAAATCTTCACCAACTCTGAGTCATTGTTATTATCATTGCTTCACTGATATCATGCCTTTTAGTGAATTCTGAGGGGAGAAAAGGCAATAAAAAATGAAAAAATTTAACTACTATTAAAATATCTGTTTATTACTAGTTGATCAGTCTACAATTTGTTCCCTGTAATATGAAGTATTTGGAATAGAATATCTTAAGGTTTATTCAGGTACAGCTGTTTCAAGGTTATATAATTTGACTATCAGATGGTTTTAGTCATAATCATAAATACAACCAAATTAAGGATGAAAATGAAAGATTTCTTTTTGGCATCCAGAGGAATATAAAAAATAAAGTTGGCTGTAGAAATAACTAGTCAGAAAAATATGACTATGAAAGCAAATCTTTTTAGTCCTTATGTAAATTTAATTTCCTTCTGGCTTTCTTCTAATAGTGGAAAATTTATATGCATTTGCAAATAGAATATTGGTATGCTTCATTGACATTTAATGAGTTCTAATATGGTCACACTGTGCACTTCTACAATTATTTCTGCCTCTACGTGGTACTAATTGGATCTTTTCCAAAATACATTAGGCCATTTAGGATGTTTGTTGTCTTAAAATGTTACATTTGCCAATGATCTCCAAAAATTTGCTTCGGAGTTTGCTTCTGATTACAGTCATTAAATGTACTTGAACATTTTAACTTTTCAGTAAATGAGAAGGTCCTTGTTTTGCTATAAAATTTTCCAATTGCAAATCCCTTCGCAATGTTTAAAAAAAAAAAAACAAAATATTGAGTATAAATAAATCCATTTATAATTTCATTCTTATCCTAAGCAAAATAAAATGCAGGAGGCTCTACAAATCATGCTGTGACTCTGAGGAGACAAACATATGAGAAGCAGATTTGGGGAACTGAGGTGAAAAATAATTCTAAATATTTAGGAACAGTTACTTTTTAATATCTCAAGAGATGTCATTTTGATACATTATACAAACGTATTTTCTGAAGCAACAGAATCTGGGTACAAAAGTCACACTGCCTGGGGCTGACTTCTGTTTTCACCACTTTTTATACATACAATAAAAACTCTCTGATCAAAATACATTTTTCTCTTTAGGATTTTGCCATGTTTTGATACATGAGCAGACACCAAACTATAAAGAGCAGGATGCAAATTTTGTTTCAAAATATATATGTAGTCTTACATATATAGACTGTAAATATGTACACTAATTTCTATGATTATGTGGCTAGCTGACAAGGGGTAGACACAAGCATAGTTTAATCCTTATTACCATATTCACAAGTTTTAGTCACATCCACTAATTGAATAGTTTCAGCTTTTAAGGCTGTAACCATTGATCCCTAAATCAGTCAATCAATATTTGTCTGCATCTACATATATGGTAAGACCAGCATTTTAAAAAGTGAGGATGACTGTCATGAGAATGTTGGAGTCTTACTTTCCTACAGTCAGAACAAGAACTCGCTCCATTGGGAAATGTCACCATAGAAGATCAGTTGGCCGCAAAATTATAGCAAAGATGAATTTGGTCTCCATTATCCCCGCTACAGTTCCTTCCTAGTTCCTCTCTTAAATTTCTCCCCTTAATAATCTGACATATATTCCAAAGATCAACTAGACTGCCCCATTATTTTAATGCCTGCCTGCTTCCTGCTTTGTCTATTAATGCCAATATTTTAAAAGGGCATTTCAGTCATTGCGAGAGACATGCATATTTTTCAAACACAGAGGTTTAGATTTGTAATAAAGTTTAGAGGACAATTTTCTTCCGTCATCACTATACAGGAACTTCTGTTAGATCATAGAGAGTCGACACCTATCTGCCTTACTCATCTTCGATTTCCCAGAGTTTAGCTTAGTGCCTGGCACATAGAAAGGGTTCAAAGTTGGTTAAACTGAATAAATGTGGTTAATGATTAGCAACTTAGCGCACTGGTTTAATTATATTAGACCACATAACAAATTATTGAAATCTGTTCATATATGAGTCTTCCCAACTATACGCCACGTTCCTGAAATGCAAAAACCTCGTTTTTTCCTCAGCAACCCCAGTGGAAGTCTTGGCATAGAGAATTCGCTGTTGATAGCTCCCTTACTTATTGAAATCAACTAGTTATAAATCAGTATCAGAGAGTAAAGCGTGAAGGAGAAGCTATGAGAAATGTAAGGGATACAACAGGATTGGTTTGCTGGAAAGACAGAAGAAAACTAGATAAAGCAGTGTTACAATTACTGCTTCTGGAACACCAATTAAGCTTTCCTGCGCTCAGGTAGCCTTAGCAACTTTGGAGGGCGTCCGGCCAAGCCCCGCCCCATCTCCGCCCCCAACCCCGCCCCCAGCCTCGTCCCAAGTCCATCATGCTCTTCATCTGCCTACCCTATACCCTTACTTCCGCCCCAACCTGCCAGCTGGAACCTAGGGTCCTACTCCCTATGCCCACGACTATTCTGCCTGACTAAAAATATGGCAGCAAATTAACAAAGTTAAAAATATATTTTATCCACATAATCCATACTTTTTTCTCAGCTATTTATACGCAAAAGCCTAAGATATTTGTGATTTAATAGCGCGATGTAGCATGAAATTTTGGGGCCGATATTCAGGCAGTGCGTTGGATAGCAACAACTTCGGAGGTCCCCAGATTGCCTAGGGAGACGTGGATATGAGTGGCGCCCGGCGGTTCCTGGCACAGTGGAGGAAGTCGTGCCATCCCACGGGGTTGGTTTGTGTTCTAGATTCATCCCGACACCACCATGTAAGTGTTTGCTTACCGAACGCCTTAATCCCTGGTCCTGCTGTCCAGCCCTGACTCTCTTCCGCTCTTTTCCTCAGGTCGAAGGTTTCTTTTAAGATAACGCTGACGTCGGATCCGCGGCTGCCGTACAAAGTGTGAGTAGCTCGGCCGGTATGGGCCTTTTGGGGCCGAACAGGACGGGGCTGGGCTGGGGGTGATCCAAGCCTTTTCAACAACTACCCCATGCAGTCTTCATCTCTTCATTTTCTCTACCTTCCTGGCTCGCGCCCTTCCTGGAGCCTCTCCCACTGGAGCCTGTGAGGAGAGGTCGGTACTTGCTCGCTAAGTGCCAGTTTGGCAGCTTGGCCCCGGCACGAGGGTGTGGGTGTGTTTCTGATTAGTGACCTCCCCTCGGAATTCCTTTGGTGGTCAGGTGGAGCGGGAGGACAGGTGGACCAGGTTCTGGTAATTTGCTGGAATTCTTAAGCAGACCCCATCTCCTGGAGATTAGAAAAACGTTTCACCGCTTTAACCAGCTGTTTCAGGAAGTTAGGGAAAACATTCCATCCTGATAGTCAAACTTTGAAATTACGTGAACGTTTGTTATTCTGCGGCTTGTGAGTTTTCTGTGTGTGAATAACTCAGTATTCGGACATCACAAAGTAACGAGACTCAGATCACACCACTCCTGTGTTGAGATTTAATAGAGTATTTAGTAGGAATGGGAAAATGCATAAATATAGGATAGTTTATCCATGTGGGGCCTTTACTTATCCTTCGCGGTTGAATGACCACACCAGGCTCGGCTAGAAGTCCAATGCGCCATTCGTTGCGTCACGGAGCCGGCATTTCGCAGTTGAATGACATATTTTAAGTACACACTCTTGAGGTTATTGCAGTTGGAAGTAGCATGAAATGTAGCAGAGAACATAATTACAGTAGGATTTTTTACATAATTAATATGCTTAGTACTGTGTCCTACCTAGCCGAACTGATACATTTTCAGTGATTCACCAACCCATGATTCCTACCTCTCAGCCTTCTGCTCCCTGGATCATTTCATCTCCAAAATATCCTTTTTACACTTTATCTCAGGTGTTCATGGTTGCAGCCTAGAACCTTAAGATTCCAATAATTGCTCCTTCTCTCCAATGTCGTTTACAGGCACTGTTATGGATAACTACAGTCTCTCCTACCCGATTTACTGTAATTTCTCTTCTACAGCGTTTCATTTAGTCCGTTAATCACAGTGATTTTTAATCTATAGCTATTCCCACTCGTTTTTTTTACCTTGCTCCTTAAGAGTCCATTGGTCGGCCAGGCGCAGTGGCTCACGCCTGTAATCCCAGCACTTTGGAAGGCCAATGCGGGTGGATCACGAGGTCAAGATATCGAGACCATCCTGGTCAACATGGTGAAACCCCGTCTCTACTAAAAATACAAAAAATTAGCTGGGCATGGTGGCGTGTGCCTGTAATCCCAGCTACTCGGGAGGCTGAGGCAGAATTGCCTGAACCCAGGAGGCAGAGGTTGCGGTGAGCCGAGATCACGCCATTGCACTCCAGCCTGGGTAACAAGAGCAAAACTCTATCTCCAAAAAAAAAAAAAAAAAGTCCATTGGTCTACCGTTAAATTATTCTCATGCAAGCATCCTCAACTCTGGTGGCCCTGTCTCTCCTCCCAGCATATTTTGGTTAGTGAAACACCAACTCTGTTTGCTATTTGTGATCTCTGTACATAGCTGAATGTCCCTGGAGAAAATAACAGACTGGTGGGTTTTACATTAAATTCATGACTATAATCAATAGTAACTAGCACTTTTCTACATTCTTCAAGTTTGCTCATTTTCCTCCTTATTCTCAGAAAGGATTGTTTAAAAATTTCAAACTCTCCAAGCTTCTCTCTCCCTTGCTCTCAAGCCATCAGAGGGAAATTCTGTCATCTTTCCACCAATATAAACCTACTACCACGTCAATAAATCCATTAATTTCAGTCTCCCATCCTGTTAGAATGGAAAAAATGACTTCACTCCTGTGAAAAACTGCTTGAGCTCTTTTCCCATCTATTTCAGTCTTGTCAAGATTAAAGTAGATGGAGTCCAGTGGCCCCTTCTCTCCTCATTATTGGTTTCTCCCTCTATATTGAATTACTCTCATCAGTATGCAAATGTACTCTAGAAAGAGACTGTGAGAAGGAAAGAAGAGGATGGAGCAGGACAGTATCATTAAGAGCCTGGAACATTAATTCAGTTAATATGTGGTGACTGAATTTAGTAGGTACAACTGTTGAGTATGTATGAATGAGTGTGTGTAGTTGTGTATGTATATAAGGATGTGTGTGTGCGTAAAATACACATAACATGTAAATGTGTATACAAGGGTACCTGTGCTATATTATCTTTTCAAAGTAAATGGTAACTAGTACTTGGGTACTAACAGAAGCAACTCTGAGATTTGTGGGAAAACATGTTTTAGCTTTTTAATAGCACTTTTTGCCTGTCAAGCAGGTAAACATACTTGGATAGAGAAACTTCCCCCAAGTTAAGCATCACCTAATAGTTGAATTGTAGAAAAGCCAGTTTTTCCTTTTGGTTTTGATTTTTGTTTGTTAATAGAAGCACTATTGGTATTGGCACTAGGTTGCAGAATTTTGATTTAAGTTAAACATTCTTCAATACATGGGATGAATTAAAAACACAGCTTTTGCTTTTTCAGTCTATTTCAAATCTTTCCTGTCTTATTTGGCACATTTTCTTTTCTTGCAGTCCTTAGTAACACAATCACATACATAAACCTTCAGCCTCCCCATTCTCAAATTGACAAGCTAGCTCTTTTAATCTTTCCTTCCTTTACACTTGTTCTTTTCTGTGCTTAGAATGCAGTCTCATGACTACAACATATTTTGTAATAAAAATCTCACCTCTATGAAGATTTTTGTAATTGTCCACAGAGTTAATCTCACCCTTCTTTAGCTACCTGTGGACTTAGTCTTTAAGATAATTTCTTGTCAATTTATGTTACTATTTTGTTTATATGAGATATTAAAAGAACAAATGATGCCAGTAATTTAAAAATTATCATTAATGTAAATTTATTCAAAACACTAGCATAATTTAAGTACTGATTTTATGAAAGGACTGGTAAATACAACTATATTTATTCATTTATTTTCCTACCTGAGACTCCTGAATAGCTGGGACCACAGTTGTGCACCACTAGACCTGGCTAATTTTTTTGGTTTGCTTTGTTTTGAGACAGAGTTTCGCTCTTGTTACCCAGGCTGGAGTGCAATGGCGCGATCTCGGCTCACCACAACCTCTGCCTCCTGGGTTCAGGCAATTCTCCTGCCTCAGCCTCCTGAGGAGCTGGGATTACAGGCACGCACCTCTATGCCCAACTAATTTTTTTTTTTTTTTTGTATTTTTAGTAGAGACGGTATTTCACCATGTTGACCAGGATGGTCTCAATCTCTCAACCTCGTGATCCACCCACCTTGGCCTCCCAAAGTGCTGGGATTACAGGCTTGAGCCACTGCGCCTGGCCTGGTTTGTTTTTTACAGAGATGGGATATCCCTGTGTTGCCCAGGCCTGTCTTGAACTCATGGGCTCAAGTGATCCTCCTGCCTCAGCCTCCCAAAGTTCTGGGATTACAGGTGTGAGCCACCAGGCCCAGCCAGAAACTACCTTTTGTTTTTTCAATACTGTAAGTTCTGGGGCACTTGTACAGAATGTGCAGGTTTGTTACATAGGTATACACGTGCCATGGTGGTTTGCTGCACCCATCAACCCATCATGTACATTAGGTATTTCTCCTAATGCTATCCCTCCCCTAGGCACCCACCCATGGACAGGCCCCAATGTGTGATGTTCCTCTCCCTGTTGCCATGTGTTTTCATTGTTCAACTCCTGCTTATGAATGAGAACATGCAGTGTTTGATTTTCTGTTCTTGTGTTAGTTTGTTGAGAATGATGGTTTTCTACCTTCATTCATGTCCCTGCAAAGTATATGAACTCATTCTTTTTTATGGCTGAATAGTATTCCCTGGCATCTGTGTGCCACATTTACTTAATCCAGTCTGTCATTGACTGGCATAGAAAATAGAACTTTAGGGAAGATCTGTGTAGTCATTGTCACTCTCATTTTCTCTAATTTTCTGTCAACTAGAACTTGCATTAAAAGATGTTTTCAATTTTGATTTATTTCACTGGCTTGTCTGTGGATACTCACCAACTTAATATACAGATAGAAACTTATTTTAATGAGCATCAATATGACATCTAGTTATATTGTAAGGACATTTCCAAGTCTGCAATTTAAAAGTGAATTGAATTCCGAGGGTTTAGAAGTTCTCTGATTGACGCAGACTTCTAGGAAAATGAGTCTCAGATTTTAAGCTACATATATACTGCAGAAATACTTTGTGAACTTTGTAAGTTAATTTACAAAGTTTGTAAACTGTCACGTTGTCTGCTTTGTAAACTGTCACATTGCCAGTCTATTAGTTTTTAAACAAAGGGCTATCCTTTAGGATTGTGTTTTCATTTTCTGCACCTCTCAAAAGCATTAGTAAAGAAAGGGTAGAAATGATCACCCATTTTCATCCTTTAACAGTATTTTGGAATTGTGGAATGAGGGCAGCCAAGAAGTCTATTCACATTTCTATTACTGAAAACTGCTACCATATGCTGTTCCTGTTATAATGATTCTTACGTTCAGACATCTGTGGACTGAGTGAGGAGCCTGGGCATACACTTGAGAATAGTGGTAGGCAGTATTAAGACACTCAAGAATAATACAGTATGCTATGATGACAGACAGAGATGTTTCAGTGAGAAATACTAGCTTGTCAGTCTCCTCTGCTTTGAAAGATTGTTTTCTGTTTTTACTCATTGTAATTTATTTTACCTCAGGAATCATAGTTTTTAAAAAATTAAAAACCTCTTAATGTGTCTTTAAGCATTTTCTTGAGGTATAAAGTAAATTTCTGGTTTTTTTTTTTTTTTTCCTAATTGGAAAATTAATACAGATTGACCCTGGGACTAAGTAATTAAGAAAAAAAAAATCTATGTATTGGTGATCTTTAAAATACTCGCCATTATATGAGTCAGTTAACAAAGTCACACATCCCTCTTCAAAAGCTACTTGATTTTACTTAGCCCATTTTAAATGATGGTGGGAAAATCAATTTAGTATTGGCATTTTGCCATAATAAACTTCATGTATTTTTATCAATTTGGTCTGCAAATTTGGGACATGATTATTAAGAGTACACAGAAGGCTCATCAAAAGCTTTATGATCCAAGGATGCTTCCCAAGTAGCCTTCTACTTATTTAATGAAAATAACATTACTGCCTCAAGTGCATAGGTACTTAGATGGGAGGTAAAGTGAACTGAAGACCAAGGAGAGCTTCCCCTTTTTGAAATCCATCTTTAGAAACAAACAGCAGTCCATATGCTAGACTTAGGTGTATCAAAGTGTTAGAAAATATGTAAGTCTACACCTGTAGAGGTTAATTCTCAAGTGGAGCTCGGGCATCATCCTAGCTCTAAGGCTATTTGCCATTTGGGTTTTTAAAATTATTATTTTGACTTAAATAACGTAGTATGCAATCAAAATCACTAACTTTGAAACTGAAAAGACAGCTTTGTCCAGACTGGCTACAGTCACAGAAATAAGGAACAAAAGGCCTTTTTTAGAAAATGTTGACTTTAAAAGAAACTGTTTTAAAATTCTTCTTGCAGACTCAGCGTTCCTGAAAGTACACCTTTCACAGCAGTCTTAAAGTTTGCAGCAGAAGAAGTAAGTACAGAAGTTGGGTGAACCTTCATGGAATGCAGTTTGCCAATATGCTTCAAACGTCTTTAAGATTTGCCTGCGTGTTGACTCATCATTTCCATGTGTTTCCTTACTAGGTTAATGTGATCAAAAGTTGCAAGTAGGATGGTAGTTAAGACTTACTTTCAGATATAAGAAGCATGAGTGACACAAATCGACATATCTGATTAATTAAACCATTGAAAATTATAGGGAGAATTTTTATGAAAATTAAAAAGGTACTGATTTGTAAATGTTTAAAATGCAACATCATATCACATTATATTCTATGTATTTATATTTTACTAGTTTTGATTCCAGAAATACAATTTTGTAAAGTCTTTATCTTAGTTTTCAGATTTTCTATATGAATATGTGGAATGTCAGTAAAATTTGTTTTGAAAAGTGTCTAGTTTTTTAAAACATGCTTGTTTTCTGTTATATAAGAAATTTTTTTCATTCAAAATTATTAGAAGCATCTATAATGCAACTTTTTAGATATAACACTTGGAAAAGTAGCTTGATCTGGTAGAAATGGCACCCAAATGTGACTGGGGAGACTTAGGGTTCCTGCTTTGGTGTGTCATTAGTGAGTTGTATGACATGATGCAAATCCCTCTTTTTCAGTCTGTAAATTGAAAATAGTTAATGCCTGTCCTCCTCTCTGATCAAGTGATTTTGAGAAAAAAACATTATTTATTGAAATTTGGTAAAGCTAAAAGTGCTAAACCAGTACATTGTAACTCAAATCAAAATGTTTTGGTTCAGAATATTTAGAAAAGTTCATATCACAGAAAAATAATTTTCATAACTACAGTAATAAGGAAATAGCTTAATACAGAATCCTGCCCTGTACTGAAGCGATTTATGGGAAGTCAGCCAATTCATCAGCGCTCAGAGGTCCTTGTATTGTCAGGAATCACTAACATCATTTGTCATTCATTCGGAATTAAACTGCCAACTAGTAGCATTTCTTCTGTGTCATTGTTGATATATTCCTTATGCCAAAGGAGTAAGAAAAATGTGATGGAACACAAATCTGAATATAGCATTGTCATTATTTTTTGCTGCACAGATTACTTACAAGAAATATTCCTAGTCTGGAGCATAACAGAATCTACAAATTCCAGATTTAAGAAGTAGATCTATCCAAGCTTTCATTAATATTTGTTATATTTTGTAGATACTTTATTGTGTGTCCTTTATAATGCAAAGGACACACATTTTTGTGATCCTGGTTTTCTAATAAAAGTTTCTACTTAACATACAGTAGTGAATAAACTAAGAAACACCACACAACCATGTATATTGATTCATGTAGCTTATAAATAAAGCTACAGAAAAGTAAGCTACAGAAAAGAAAATGTTAAGAAAATCCTAAGTGAAAGTATATTTACTATTCATTAGGTGTAAGTGGATTGCTATTATATCATAGGTGTTACATATTTAGCAAGGATATGACTTACAGGTCGTGAGAGGGGCTTTCACGAGATGACATTGTAGAATCATTCAGTGCGAACAAAAGTTGACTCAAGAAAGCAAGAGTCTGGATTTAAATATCTGTTAAAATTCTCTTAGTAAGCAGTAAGAAAATTTCCCAGCACACGATTGGGGTAAGTAATGAGTTGTTGAAACCTTCAAAGAGCCCTTAACAGCCTAAATGATAAGAATTATGGTGGATCTGAGGAGGAAAATAAATGAAAACCGGAGAGCATAAGAGAATACTTTGCATTCAGTAGAAAACCTGTGAGTATTGTAGGACAAAAAAGGAGTAGATACTACATTTTACATCACTAGTGATGCCTCTTCATATTTTAGTTTAGCCATTTCGTCCACATTCTGCCTAAGGGAAATACTGTCAGCAATTGCGTTTGGTTTTAAAAGTTAGAAGTTGCCACTAAGAAAATACATAGTGTATCTTAAAGTGGGTATGATGTAAAAGTAAGACTCAATCACTAGGGTAACTAAAATCTTTCTAGGACTCTAGCTTTGGAAATCTGAGAGCACTATAATTATTTTGAGTGTTTGATCAAATTCTTATTGAGATTATGACCTGTGCAAAATATTTGTGATGCACTTTTAAGTTTACTTAAGTACATTTGAAATCTTAAAAAAAAATTAAATCTTTAAAAGGACACAATTATAAGAGTATACCACATTGAGATTAAAATATGTTTATTATTAATTTTTGTTTTTTGTTTTTTTGGAGATGGAGTCTTGCTCTGTTGCCAGGCTGGAGTGCAGTGGCACAATCTCAGCTCTCTGCAACCTCTGCCTCCCAGGTTCAAGCAATTCTCCTGCCTCAGGCTACCAAGTAGCTGGGATTACAGGTGCACGCCATCATGCCCAGCTGATTTTGTATTTTTAGTAGAGACAGGGTTTCAACATGTTGGCCAGGATGGTCTTGATCTCTTGACCTTGTGATCTGCCTGCCTCGGCCTCCCAAAGTGCTAAAATCTGTTTATTATTAATATGTACATAATACTATAACAAATAATTGTTCTCAGGCATGTTTAAGGCTTTATTTTAAAAGTTGATTCTTCAATTTATAATTTAAAATAAGCTTTTAGTTTTTCTCAACTGTGTATATGTGATGATTATAAATGCCTAAAGTAGAATTTCCCAGACAAGTAGAACCACACACAAAATAGTACCACCAAAAAAAAAGGTCATGAAGAACAGGGATTACTGGTCAGAAAGTATGAGAAACACTTCATTTCTGTTAGCAGTATATGAAAGGATTTTGAGAAGACCACTAGTTTAATGTGTTTTCCAAACTCGATCACAAAACTCAACTATAATATCTATAAAGTTGATCCATAGCACAAACATACTTAATAAGTATTTGTTGGACCGGAGAATAAACTCTGAAGACATAAACACACTTTGGCAATTACTGATCTCTTTAAGAGATGGAATCTACCTTTTAGCTACCAGCAAATTCCATACCACATTTCATTGATTTAAAAAACACACGTTTTAAACATCTCTGAAATAGATCAGGGGACGCTTGCTATCATTGTTGGCCAAATGGCATTCACATAATTGTCTAGGTAACATCATCTACAGTTAATTATGATTTCCTAATGACATAATTGGACTATTGCAATCCCTTGAGCTTTAAATCAGCAGATCATTTAAGGAGAATGTAAGGAATAGAAGCTTTGGTTGTTACCTGAAAATCTTCTGTAGGCACCACCCATTAAACAGAGTATCTGTTCAGATCTTGCAATTTCTATGGAGAAATTTTAGGAATAATCTCATCAGTCTATTTTGCATATACTTTTTGCTATTCAAGAGAATTATAAATGACAAAACTGATGGGTAAGTCCTAAAGAGTAAACATTGATCTGGGCATAAATAGACAGTGATTTTTCATTTTTGTAATACATAAAATAAGGTAAACTTTTACAATTAATGGTGTATGAAATACAGTAGAAAGCATTGATTATAGTACAGGGTTTATTTATTTATTTTTTACAGATAAAGGAAATTATATAGTCCAGTTGACCCTTGAATAACATGGGGGTTAGGTGTTCTAACCCCCTGTGCAGTTGAAAATCTGCCTGCAACTTTTTGATTTCTCAAAAACTTTAAATAGCCTACTGTTGACTGGAGGCCTTACTGATAAACAGGCAATTAATATATATTTTGTTATGTGTATTATATCCCATATTCTTAGAATAAAGTGACAGAAAAGAAGTATTAAGAAAATCATAAGAGAAAGTATATTTACTATTCAGTAAGTGGAAGTGGACTATCCAAAAGGTGTTCTTAATCTTTGTCTCACGTTGAATAGACTGAGAAGGGAGAGGCAGGGTTGGTCTCGCTTTCTCAGGAGTAGCAGAGGCAGAAGAAAATCTGCACATGTCATTCAAGGGTCAACTGTACTTTCCTCAGTGGTTTCACTTATTCTAAAATATGTATCATATTTTAGAATTATAAAAATGGTATTTGTATCCCATTCTTGCTAATTATCTTTTGTAGTTTTATGTATGGATACATATATATATATATATATATATTTTTTTTTTTTCTTGCATTTAGTTTAAAGTTCCTGCTGCAACAAGTGCCATTATTACCAATGGTAAGAATTCATTTTAAAATTACGTGTTACCTGAAATTTATCAAAATGGTTTAAAAGGAACCAAATTAATAAACATTAAATACAAAAAGCCCCAAATATACGTATATCAACATAAAGGTTATCCTTAATGGTAAACACTAAGTCAGGGTTATTGTTCATGATTGGCTCCTTTCATTTCCTCGTGCTCGTGGTGTAGTACAGCACTTTTCAATATCTTTTGTCCTTACCAGTTCATGCCAGATTATAACTGAAAATGACTTTTTCTTATAAATTTAGCAAGGTTTTTTTTTTTTTTTTGAGACGGAGTTATCGCTGTTGTTACCCAGACGGGAGTGCAATGGCGCGATCTCGGCTCACCGCAACCTCCGCCTCCTGGGTTCAGGCAATTCTGCCTCAGCCTCCCCAGTAGCTGGGATTACAGGCACGCGCCACCGTGCCCAGCTAATTTTTTGTATTTTTAGTAGAGACGGGGTTTCACCATGTTGACAAGGATGGTCTCGATTTCTTGACCTCGTGATCCAGCCGCCTCGGCCTCCCAAAATGCTGGGATTACAGGCTTGAGCCACCGCGCAGCAAGTTTTTTTTAATTAAGTAAAGTTGTTTAGTAAATGCTTTAGAATATAGAAAGTTAAGCAGGGATATACCTTTGCTATACCTTTCCTGATAATAAATGGTTTCTTATACGCTTGCAATAATGAGAATTTTACTCACTTTTAGGTATATAATTAAAAATCTTAATATCTTGGAACACCGATAATTGATGATGGAATTAGTCTGCATCATTAGTGAAATAAGATGAGGAATAAAGATTGCAGGGAGGGTTTAACTGTGTTTCAGGTATGCAGTGTGGTATTGATGGGTGCTGATGAGTTACCCACGTGCAGTTTGGATAGACTAACAGGAGATGGGCTTACTGTGCATGATGTAACTTAGGTAAGACAGAATTTCTCACTCTAAAATATTCTGCATTCTGCCACATTGAAGTGTTTCTCTGTTAGGAAAAAGCTGGCTTACTTTCTGGAAAGTTTTAGGTTCATAACTTAGGAACGTTCGTTGAACTAAATGCCTTTGTGAGCTCTCCCAGCCTTAAGATAGACCCAGAGCAATACGAAGATGATTCATGGCATACCTAAGTGCTTTTTAGTTTTTTGGAAGAAATGAAAAACATTATTTTTAATTCTATGTGGCAAAATAGAATGAATAACCTATATTCCACAGAACTTACCAAGATCATTGCATTGACAGACGTTTTTGTCTAACCCATCAACGTGTATGAATGCAGAATAGTAGGTTTCAACAGATAATTTACCTGAAAGATTGTCACTCATGTTCTTGGATTTAAATTGTCTGGCTTGTGTCTGTGTACACAGCAGCACTGTTTTGGCAAATCTCTCTTCTTGCTACTATTAAACCATTTTAGCTTTGGAAATAACGTATATGATTTTACAACTTATTTTCTAGATGGAATAGGAATAAATCCTGCACAGACTGCTGGTGAGTATCTATTTGAAAACTCATGGAGGAGTGGGTGGGGTTATAGATGTCAGTTGACACTGAATATATAAGTTATTCTAATTATACTTGACAGTATTTTAATATAATGGAGCTGTTTGTTAGGGATTATATACCAGTCTTTACCTGTGTGTCTAAGTAATAGGTTGTTTCATTATGTATATTGATTATAGATGTTTTTGGCTACAAGTAACAGAAAACCTAATAGTAGCTTAAGCATTAAGGGGATTTATTATACACAATCCCCTTAATATACAATCCCCGTTATATGTCTAGAGACAGAACAAACTGTCTCTAGATAAGGTTGCTTTCTCATTGGAATAAGGATTTTTGACCTACCTCTTAAGGTAGTTGTGAGATAGTGAATGTAAGCTCCTTAATAGCTTGGACTATTTATAGGAAGCATTCATTAAGTGCTATTCTTTTTTTAATATAGTCATTTACATTTCAAGAGGCTGAGTCTAGACTCAGATCTTCAAACCATTAAGTTTATACAGGTGATGTATTGGTGTCCTAACCAGGTGGCAGGGTGAAAGTAGTCTAAAACTTTTTAAAACATAGTTTTATATTTTTTAAATGTAATCTCTTGGGCTAATAAAGTTTTAAAATTAGATATGCTTTAATGTAACCTCATTCTAGAGCAGTAGTTATTTTTAAATTTATTCTAAAGTAATTTTTTATTGTAACAAAATTATGTTGTTTTCATAGGCCTTGTGGTTGAAATTCAGCCATAGAGAAAGTGAAGAGTGATTTTAAAATTGCAACTTTTTGTTACTTCAGTAGTTTTTAATATAGACCTCTTTTACCTTAAAAAGGTTTATTGAAAATCGTGAGGCACTTTATTGTATGGATGCCATTAAACTTACTAGACAGAGGTTTCTTTTTTTCTTATTGGAGAAACTTGCAGCAGTTTACAGTGGGTTTAATTACTGCTAACTCGAATGGATTGCTTGTTACATTACCTTGAAAAACTGAATGTGCATATCATTGGATATGAAGAAAATCCCAGCAGGCAGCTGACCCCAAATATGTCAGGCTACCTAAATTTCTGTCGCTTGTAGTAATTTACATTTTTTTCTGTCCTTAGATATGTTATTATGTATTGAAGGAAATATTAATGATTAAATTTATTCATATTGTTATTTGCTGAAAGTATTTGTGAGCATTTTTATGGCTGGTGTTACTTTAAATTTTAAGCATTTGTTGGACTGTAAAGATATGAGACTAGGAACAAGATTTAAAAAGCATGGAATTGGGGTTTAATGATGCTTGAGCTTTTGTACCTATTTTACTGTTTACTAAATCATTTACTATATGTAATAATTGTCAGAATATTAAGCTAACTTGATTTTTAGAAACCTAACTTTTTATGTTTTGTCTGTTTGTATAGGAAATGTTTTTCTAAAACATGGTTCAGAACTGCGGATTATTCCTAGAGATCGTGTTGGAAGTTGTTAATATCTGCTATTTGGAACATACAGTTGCCTTTCAGAATAAATATTGGTATTTTTTGTTGTTGTAAAATTGAAATCAGGCATGTAACATACTATGAAAACACAAGAGTCAATGAGTATTGAAAGGTGACTCATCTGTCCCTTTTTGTTGTCCATACTCTTCATGTGAAGAGGGAATGTGTATGAATTAAGGGTACTACCATCACAGACGATCATACAGTCTTTGATTGCTACCTCACAACACAAACAGGTAGTTTGTTGGGGGTAAATGAATTAGCTAACTGTGTTAACTGGAAGCTTCTGATAATTTTTTAGAGAACAATTCGGAACATTAAAATTTACTGAATCTTATATATTCATTTGAGTTAAAAATATAAAAAGAATTTTGGATCAGGGCCAGGTGCGGTGGCTCACGCCTATAATCCCAGCACTGTGGGAGGCCGAGGTGAGTGGATCACTAGGTCAAGAGATCAAGACCATCCTGGTCAACATGGTGAAGCCCCATCTCTACTAAAAATACAAAAATTAGCTGGGCATGGTGGCGCAACCTGTAGTCCCAGATACTGGGGAGGCTGAGGCAGGAGAATTGCTTGAACCCAGGAGGCTGAGGTTGCGGTGAGCCGAGATCACGCCATTGCATGCCAGCCTGGGTAATAAGAGCGAAACTCCATCTCAAAAAAAAAAAAGAAAAAAGAATTTTGGATCATGGATATCAATTTGATTGATAGAATCTGATTTGTGGACTCAGTTTAATTTTTAATTAAATCTGTAGGTTATGATGAAGTCAGTAGTCATATCAGTGAACAGTTAACTATATTAAATTTTTATCATTTACTTTTTTTAAGATTCAAACCTCATGTGCTATATAAACTATGGTTTAATATCAACGAAAAATAAAATTTTAACTAACCTTTATGTGTATAAATTGATGTCCCATTCCAGGTTTTAATGGTGGACTTGAGGAATCCAGTACTAGTAATGGTGGGAATTCACAATACATTTGCTGAGTTTTACATTCCTTTATCAATCTCTTTTGATACAACTTTTAAAACAAGTGTCTTCAAGAAACTATTGGTGTTTTGAGGGGAGTATTTCTAAAGAACAGGAAGAGAGTATATTACATAGAAGATCTGAAGATCAAAAAAACAGCTCAAGGAAATGCAGATCAGAAGTGCTGATGAGATCTCTTTACTGAAGACCCAACTTTTAAGGCGGTGCTAAGATGAGTCACCCATGTGAATAAGAAGCCAGGAAAGGAAAGATGGGGAAGCCCAGATCACCAGGCTTCTGGGAAGCAGCAAAGCAACAGAGGAAGACAGTGAAGGGGAACAGAAAGGTGTAGCAGAGTCTTACAGAAAAACCTACTGGATAGACACAACTGCAGAAGGCATATGTTGGGGAGAAACTGAAAGGGAAAATAGTCTTAAGTAGTAGAAGGCAGTTAGAGAAAGAGTATCTACTGGCATTGTCAACATACAGATGTCAAAATACCCCTTATGAGAATCCAAAGAATGATGTGTGTATGGGAAGATTGTATCTGCCCTTCCAGAAGAAATCAGTATCTATGCAAATCTTGAAAGATGAAATTAAAGCTCGTACTGATTCAGAATCAGTGCTTGACCTGCTGTATTGTGAATGGTGAACTCTGGAAGCAGGGATCGTGTTTGGCTCTTCAGAGCTAGAAATGTTGTGGCTTTCATTAAATATTTGCTGTAAAGTCTCTCTTAAGACCAATTATTATCTTGGCATGTTTCAGTATCTTCTCTATCATAGGCCCTAGATTCATTGGGGGGAAACAAAATAGAAGAAAATTCATCAGATTCAGCATTTGAAGTGTGCCATTGGTAGTTTATGAAATTACCAGATATTTGTAAATGTGACGAACAGCAGGATTATGAATTATCCAAGGGAGAAAAAATGCTGAGGTGAAAAAAAATCTGATGTCTGAGGAAGTTTTTATTTTTATAAACAAAATCTGATGTTCAAAGGCCCTTGCTTCTTACCATAAATAATGAGCCTCAGTTAACCAGAAATTTATGAATATTCATTATTTCCTGACTTTATGATTTAATTTAGATTTTTCTCCACTCTGTTTCTAGCACAAGTTTGCCTGCTGTGTTGCAGAAATAAATTTATGCTGTCCTGTGCCGTAAAGTTATATATTTAATATTTTTATTCTTTGGTTTTGGAAAATTATATTGTAAGTTCCGAAAAACATTTTATTAAACAACTAAACATTTTGTTATTAAATGTGATCTATAATTCTTTATGCAGAATGTGATTTGAAGTATTTAGTTGACATGCATTATTGGTTCATAATTAATATCTAATGAAAATACATTTTGTTATATTGTAAACCATATTGTCTACTCTTATTTTTAGAGCTCTTAATCGGCACACCTGTTGAGTCAGTATATAACACATGTAGTAAAGGAACAAAAAACGGCAAAGATGATTAATGACCCTAAGTCATAGCAGTGAGTTTATAGTCATCTGCCACATAATGATGTTTCGTCTAACAACAGATTGCATATGACTGTGGTCCAATATTATAATACTGTATTTTTATTGTACCTTATCTGTGTTTAGATACACAAGTACTTTTACCATCGTTTTACAATTGCTTACAGTCTTTGGGACAGTAACATGCTCTACGGGTGTGTAGCCTAGGAGCAATAGGCTGTACCATATAGCCTAAGTTTGTAGTAGGCAAGGTCATCTAGATTTGCATATGTGTGTTGTGATGTTCACACAGTGATAAAGTTGCCCAAGGAAGCATTTCTCAGAATCTGCTCCTCTGATTAAGTGATACATCGCAGCACTTCCAAATGCCTGTCCATTTTACAGATGGAAAAAAAAAGAGTTGAGAAGAACATGGGGTTGTTGTAACTGGCTAGATTGGTAGGTTCCAAACCTGGGTGATATGAGAGTCACCTAGGAAATTGAAAATACAGATTTTTGGAAACCACTTGTTGAATTCTGATTTATTAAGTCTGGAATAATACATAAGAACCTCTGTAAAAAGGAGTCCTGTTGATTTCTCCCATGCACGTGGTTTGAGAATTCATGAGAAGGCCACCTTTTCACTTTGTAGAGGAACAGAATGAGGTCTAAAGGGTCAAAGTAACTAGAATATGTTCTGGAATCTTGGACGGGGCACTTTCAAATGCTTGGTAAGTAGCCTGGGTGTAAAGGTGCTAGCTAACAGTCTCACTCACTATACAACCTTTAAAGTTTTCAAGTCAAACGTTTTTTAATGTTTTTCTTAGAATTCGCTGTTCAAAAGGAAAGTCAGTGGGAAGAAAATGCAATCCCGTTTAATTCTTCTACTCCAATATTGAGATATTAAAACTGTCTACCATGTTTTTTACACAAAGACCTTGAAGTCTTCATGAATTGGAAGCATTTATATACTTTAATGGAGTAATTCTAAGTTAACGGATAGTGTTCCTGAGGCCATTTATAAAACCACACAAAAAATAATGATTTATCCAAAAGAAATCTGTTGGACATCTATGTGTCAAATATTTTGACAGATAATTTCACTTTTATTATCTCATTCTTTAAAACAATTCCAGGTTATTTCCCCCATTTTACAGAATAAGAAAGAGGCTTAAGTTGAGATTTGAAATTTGAACCCCTGATTTGACTCAAACTCTGCACATCATACAGGGAAAATTTTTTAGTATATATTTTCTGTGGTAGGCTAGGTGTGTATTGAATCATGAAAATAAGAATATGTAAGGCTTAAATTCCATTTCAGAGTTCAGAGTATGTGTGTTATGATAACGAATGGCACTCCTTTTTAATACATGCTGTATATATCATATAAATATGATAAATTCTAGGATATTATAAACGAACCAGTAGTGGAAATAAAGACTCTGCCCCCATATTCATTAGCCCTATCAGACATTGTGTTTTTAACTTTAATGTATCTTGAAAGTACAGTTGAAAGATTACTCTTCTAAAAACTTCCTACTAGGTTGCTGCCCATAAACTTCTTTAATACAGAATTTTTAGAACTGTCCTCTATTGGTTAGTGCTGGAGATGGTAAATCATTATTCAAACTAGGCTATTAAACCATTAATTGAAATAAATACTCTTGAAAAGTTCAATCTAGCCAATCTATTAACCGTATCCTTCAAACTGACTGCTCTTTCTAATCGTCAAATCTGTTACTCATATGATTTTCCTTTCTCAAGGTATCAAACCAATCACAATATTCTCTTGATACTATTAACAGATTATCTCACAGTCATCCCCACTGTAACTAAAGCCCTAATCTCGTTTATACTATCATAAGAGCCTCTAGTCTCTCCATTCCCACTTTCACACTGTTGCTTTAATGAGTTTTTTTTTAATGTGATTACGTCATTTCATTAGTCAAAATCCTACTGAATAGAAAGTACACTGTTTATGACATACAAGGCCCTCATGAACTGGTCTGTATTAGGGTCATGTGTTACTACTGCTCTCTTCCTTACAGTTTCCTTCCCCAATTTACACTGCCGCTACCCCGAACTACAAATAATGTTTAGTTATCTCTGATGTGCCATGTGCTTATGCTTTCATTTCTTTACTTACCCCACTTGTTTGCCTGGAAAACCTAGGACTGATTCTTTAACATCAAAAGCCACTGAGCCTTTCCTCCCTCCTCCAAAGCAGTAGGTATTAACTGTCTATGCAAGTATTGCATTTTTGCATATCTTCCATTCTAGCAATTATTAAATACAGAACTATTTGTCTCTAAAATGGAAATTTTATAAAAGTCTAAGACCATGACTGACACTGGGTTTCCAAATTGTTTTGCCCATAATAGGAAGTACTTTATAATTGAAAGTACTTTATAATTTGAAATATTTTTTCAAATATACATGAAAGAATATTTTGAAAATTGGAACTGTGTTTCACATAAAGTAACTACTTTCATCAGAATATTTGGTTAACCAGTTTACCCATGTTTCTGTTTCTTGTAGTGGGAATTTATTCTCTCAAATGAACTACTTTTTTAAATTGCAAGACATTCTGTTATTTTTAAACAAATATTATTAGCCATATGCTGCATATTGTTAAATACTGGAGATGAAACGTGATTAACATTCATTCATTCCCATTTCTTGGACTTTCCAAAATTTATACATTTCAAAAACACCAAATTACCTAGTATAGTAATCATGGACATGCAGATGCATAACAAATCCTTTTTTATATGCTGGGCACAGTGTGAGGCACTTGACAGACATTATCTCATTTAATCCTTACTCTTTTCACAAAATGTCAGTGTTAATTTCTTCACTTTGCTGTTCAGGAAGCTGAGACTTCAGTTAATATGCTTAAGGTTACGATGAGATTGACTCCTAGGTCTGTATGATTATAACGTTCACAATGTGAATCACATTTATCGTTAATTGGCCTAGAATTATATTGAAATACTTTTTCAAAATAAAATGAGCACACCCGGAATGATCCTCATAGATTGCTATTTAATATTTCTGTGATTTCACTTTGCTTGAAAAATTTAACATTCAGCAATCCACATAAACACTGCACTCACAGACTCCTTTTTAGTAAATACACACATTTAGAGCAACAGAGAATGGTCAACATTTTAAAAGTAGATTTATGGCCCTATTATCTGCTTTGCTATATAGAAGATGTCGTATTTGTGTTATTAGATGCAAAACACTGGCTAAGGTTGGCAGACAAATTCAGAGAGCCAGTTTTTGGCATAAATCTCTCAATTTTTGGCAAAACTTCTTAGCAATGTAAAAGCTGTTATTGAGAACATATTGTGATGATACATCATGTCAATATTTGTTTGGCTGAGTAACACTTGGATTTAATAAATTAATTCTTAAATACACAATTTACAACTGATGAGCTGTTTCAGAAATAAACTAATTTTTGTTGTCAGTGCCACAAACATTTTGACAAGTCTCTAGTGGAGATACTAGCTTCTCTGATTTTTTTAGATAAATGTATGTATGGATTAGGACTTTCTGAATTATCTTTCGGTGTGCACATTAGGAATGAAACCTAAGAGACAATGAATGACTAACTAAATGAGTCACATAGGTAAATTAGCCAAAAGGACGATAGAAAGGTCACATTGGGTTTGTGGGGAACTACATCCTTGAATAAAGAAATACCTTATTTGTTTCTCAAAGCAATAAAAAATGAAGGCTTTAAGGAGTTGTGGTTACTATGACAGATCTGGTGTATTGCTGTCAATTCCACATACATATTAAATTTCATCTATGGACTGAAGCAGAGAGCAAAAGAAGTGACAGACTCCCTTCCACAGAAATTGCTAAAGGCTTCATTGTAGTTGCTTCCCAACATGGAAATAATTATGTTCCAAATATTTTGATTTAATTCTTAAATTAAACCAGTACCTTGTTACCTATGAAAAGATAATATCTGTACTTCATAAAGTGTAATCCATCTCCCTACTATTTTCTAGCAAGATTATATTTTTGAAACCATTACAAAACTAGTATTTCACAGGAACTTCAATAACATGAACCAAATTCTAAGGATGCCATCCTCTTGCTATAAACAAAAAACTGTAATATTCCAGTCTGGGATTCTTCACCTGCTATACTTTCTACAGTTGACCCTTGAAGAGTGTGGAGAAACAGGCACTGACCCCTTGCACAGTAAACAATCTGCATCTAACTTTTGTATGTTATGTACTGTATCTTTAAGCTACAGAAAAGAAAATGTTATGGAAGAAAAAATATATTTAGTATTCATTAAGTGATCTACATCATCATAAAGGTCTTCCTCCTTGTCTTCACACTGAGTAGTCTGAAGAAGAGGAGGGGTTAGCAGAGGCAGAAGAAAATCCATGTATAAATGGACCTATGTGGTTCAAACCTGTTTTTTTTCAAGGGTCAACTGTACATCCTACCTTCATTACATATCTTCTGTCTCCACCCACACTGTTATCAAAAAGCGTGTCTCTTCGTTCTGAAAAGTTGGAAGTCCCCTGAAGATTTTCCTAAAATGCAGTTCCTTTGCTCCATTTTGGAGCATTCTTTGCAGTTGTCCAAGTCAGCATTTAGCTTTGTTGCCTCACCTTGTCCTCAGTCTACCTAGACCGACCTTGCGTCTCTTTCCTTTTTGAGTGTGAGCATTTTTAACCCTAACTAATGCTTTTGCTAATTTCAAACAGTACCAAACATCATCTCCTATTTTACTTGGCTCTATTATTTAATAGTGAGTTTACATTGACCCTTCCAAACATAGGCATTGAAGAGTAACCTAGGATAGAACAGAATGTTTTCCATGTTGTCAGATGCAACAGGCTTGAATAAACCTATAATTAGTAGATCCTTCCTCTAGATACAA